ATATATATATATATATATATATATATATATATATATATATATATATATATATATATATATAGCCTGCTCCTTGTTCATTACTGCACTGGTATTTCCTTTGTGCAACTGATAATAAAATTTCTGCTCTGGAGGGTGGGGAATGATCTTATTGCTGACATGGGCTAATCGGGTATGTTTGCTCCCCTACACTCCCACTTACTTTCGGGATATCGGTGCCCACGCATTTTCATGAGCAGCTAAAAAAGTCACCCTGGATTTTATTTTATTATATTTAGTTTTATTTTTTCTTTACATGCTGCAATATTTATTCCAAAAATCTTTAAGAAAACCCTACTTTCTGCAGGGAATTGTTTTAACCAGTGAACATAATGGAGAGAGATGTTTTCTCTGAGCTAATAGGAAACTGGCCCAGAAGTGAACTATAGCAAGAAGCTTGATTTGGCACTTAGAAGAGAAACTTTCTAGACCTAAATAGACATTTCTCCAAAGAAGACATACACATGGCCAAGAGGCACATGAAAAGGTGCTCAACACCGCTAATTATTAGAGAAATGCAAATCACAACTGCAATGAGGTATCACCTCCATCACCAAAAAATCCACAAACAATAAATGCTGGAGAGGGTGTGGAGAGAAGGGAACCCTCTTGCACTGTTGGTGGGAATGTAAATTGGTGCAGGCACTATGGAGGCCCCTTAAGAAACTCCAACTCCAGCAAGTGCTGCGCCCTGAAGTCTAAGGCAGTGTTTGCACAGAAGCCACAACCCTCATCCCTCACGGCTGCTCCTAGCCAACAGCTCAGCACGGGCAGGTATTCATGGTGGGCTGGGTTCCTGGGGGACGTGGGACTCTTCTGATGGACTCCTCCCTGGGGGCCTTGCCAAATTTCCTTAGACACACCTGTTTCTGTCTAGGATGCGTTCACCACCACCCCTCCCCGGTCTCTCCTTCACTTGCAGAGCTGTATGACCTCTCCCGGACTTTCCTGGTTGACACTCCATTTTTTTAATTACAGTTGAAACCTTTCCACACTTAATCCTGTCCTGTCATCAAAGAAGACCCAGACTTCTTTGAGAGTAGCGTGCAGGCAGAGGCCTCAAAAACAGACCTTTCCCCCTACAATGTCACGACCAAAAATTGGCGAACTGGGGAGGTGGACAGTCTCTATGGTGGCCACACACTCACCCCTGCAAAACTGGAACTGTAGGCGTGGCACATCTAAACCCATATATAAAAGGGTATATTTGCACTTAAACTTTCTATGGTTATCCTCTTTTATTTTTAACTCTAGGTGTTTGTGTTTGAAAATAAAATCTCTCAGGACAAACACAAATGTCTGTGACAGGTTATCCTAACAGAATATCATGATCATTTTTAGTATCACAATGTAGTAGTAAACTAAGGGGAAACAGAGATAGAAAAATGTTTAGTGGCCTCAATTTTATAAAGAAATTAAAAATTTTAAAAGGCATGTAAGTGGGGGTGGGAGGATGTAAAAGGACAATTTTGATCAAAGGGAAATGTATCATTTTGGAAGAAGAAAATGTTAGACAAGAAAAGAAGTTTAAAAATTATAAAAATGGGTTTTGGTAAATGAGATTTTATTTAAAAAGAAAAAAACTAGGGAAAAACTGTAGAACATTTCACAATTTTGTCACCAAAGATGAGGTGAGTCTAGATCATAGCTGGGATCTTTTTTTTTTTTTTTTGCCACGCCGCGCGGCATGCAGGATCTTAGTTCCCCCACCAGGGATCGAACCTGTGCCCCTTGCATCGGGAGCAAGTAGTCCTAACCACTGGACCGCCAGGGAAGTCCCATAGTTGGTATTCGATCAAGACCACTTAAGTTCTTGAGAAAGGTTGAGGGGCTGATACATCAGCCCCAGTTGTTCTAGCAATGGGACCCCAGTCATGACCAAAACCTTTTAATAAGAAAAAAGCCACATATGAAGGAAGTAAATAATCAATAGAAGCCCAGCACATTCTGGAAGTGGTTGACCCACTCTGTCTCAAAGGGAGGGTCCGAGGTGGTGTTTGGAAGGATTTGAACTTGAAGGGAAGACTTTGCATCTTATGGAAAGTGGTTATATTCTAATTTCAACCTACAAGCTTCTGGACGACATGCAAACCTCTTGAATTATCTCCTAACTCAGGTCCTGGTCAAGATAAACGATCAATAACATTGTGGGTTCCCTTTGCTTCACTGTCACTATTGGGATTGGAAGGGAACCACAGAGAGGGGAGGGTCAGTGGGTTGGTCCAGAGTTTACCTGAATATAGAAGAAGAAGGAGAAAAGTGACAAGATAAACGAGTGATCTCAGCAACGACAGTGCCCAAGCAGTTGCAGGAAGGAAAGAAGTGATTTGGGATGTTTAGCTGCATAGATATGCAAATCAGAAAGAGCATAGGAAGGAGCCGGAAGACTCAGATTCACAGCTAAGATCCCAAGTGAACTCGGAGTTATTACCCAGGCTGCCAAGGAGCTTACTTAGATGGCTTTCAGGTTTGGTGGCATGGGCCCCAACTTTCGAATGTGGGGTTGGAAGTGTTTGCTTTTACACCAGAGATGCCTCCAGAAGGGGCAAGGGAGCTGTTGCATGTCAGGAAGGCCAACACACTCCAAGGGAATCAGCAAAGCAAGGGACAGCAGCCCCTGAGCAGTGGGGGAGGAGATGCAATACCAGGTGGAGAGGACCTTGCTAACCCTTGCCCTTTGCTCTCCTTGGTGCCCACTTACCCCCATCCCACATGTCCATGCTCAAAATATCAACTTTAATATCAGTATTAACCCTCGAGCTTATCATTCATGTTTGTTTTCCATCACTCATTAGGCAAGGTGATAAAATTACTAGTAAGCAAATCAGATGGAATTTGACAAGACGGCCCAGGGTTCATTGTATGTAATTATATACTAAGCCAGAAATACAGTAAAATACGGTCACTCACCGCCATGCGGGGCCATTAGCATTCCTACAAGCAGAAGCACGATCATGGCAGCAGAGCAAACAGTGGGATCCTGGCATCAGCTGCAACAGCGTCCTGGGAGAGAAGTCAGCGTAATATGGCAAGTGTGCTTTCAGAAACCATGACACGAGACTCCACAGGAGCTGTTTGTCCCATAATGCAGTGCAGGAAAAAGAGAAAGCCCTGAAAGTGTCTCTGTCCCAGCTTTGCCAGCGGCTTTGTTAGCAATACGACAGTAAGGAGATTATGTTCCCTCTTTGAGACTCAGTTTATCCATCTGTAAAATGGACACCTCACCGTGCGCTCCTTGAGGACGTAGTTCTGGTCTCATTTATTTATTCGCTAAATCAATGGTCATTTATTATGGGTCAGGCACATTGCAAGGATCCAGGAAAGCAAAGTGAGGAAAACACACCTTACCTGTGAGTGGTTCACAGACGAATGGGAAGAGGTGGCAATTTAACAAGCGCTGTAGTTTGACTTTTGTAAATTGAATTTTGAGCAACCCATACGTTATGTCCCACCAGCATTCTGAACAGCATTCTTTTCTTAAAATTTTTTTAACCATTTTTTAATTGAAGTATAGTTAATTTACAATGTTGTATTAGTTTTGGGTGTACAGCAAAGTGATTCAGATGTGTGTGTGTGTGTGTGTGTGTGTGTGTGTGTGTGTGTATACTTTTACAGATTCTTTTTCATTATAGGGTATTACAAGATACTGAGTATAGTTCCCTGTACTATACAGTAGGTCCTTGTTGTTTAGCCATTTTATACATAGTGTGTATTTGTTAATCCCAAACTCTTAATTTATCTCCCCCCATCCCCTTTGGAAACCACAAGTTTTTTTCTCTATATCTGTGAGTCGATTTCTGTTTTGTAAATAAGTTCATTTATATCATTTTTTTAGATTCCACCCATAAGTGATATCATAGGATATTCTTGAGCGGGCTGGCTCTGAACTTTTGTACCAACATCACAGAATTTATCTGGCCATCTCCTGGCAGCGCTGCCTGCTAGCAAACAATGCTTTTGCATACTTTGTGGCAGTCCTAGCGGTTCAAGGAATGTGCCTTTGGAAGGGCCTGGGGGGAAGGGGCCAGGTGGGTGGGGTCAGGAACCTGCCACATTTCAACTGTAGCTGCCCTGGGATCTGAGCAGTCAATATTGAACTTCAGTAGTCACTTACGGTCTATTGCCTCAAGCAGGTCAACCATGTATTTAACAGGGAAGGAACAACTTAAAGACCAGAGGGATTTAGAATAGAATAGTTTTAGCTCCCTGGGAATCTAACTGCCAAAGGAATGTGAGACGGATGATTGACTTACACATATTCAGTTTTAGAACATGTTTTTAGGACACAGTTTGAATGATAATACAGAGTGACTATGCTACCCCAGTGGCACACACAGGGCTGCTGAATACGGTTGTATATGTTGTGCACTTTGCAAAGGTGTTGTGCTGAGTGGGCAAGTAGGGGCTGAAATGCAGCCAGTGCTGAACTCCCACGCTTGCCCTCTGCAGGGCTGTGTCAACCTGGAGGGAGGGGCAATTTCTGCAATTGGTTCTCCCAGAGGCAAAGGCTGCCCTGTGTCCTGGTGGCCCAGCATAGGTACCCAGGTCCGTGGTGGGCCGCTCTGCAAGTGGACAGGGCTTGGTACTGGGGAAGGTGTCCCAGGGGAGAAGACATTTGTAGGTGGTAGGATCTCTACTTTGTGAACTTGCTCCAGGACCCAGCACACCTCTGCTGGCTGGAAGATACCTGTTTGTTGAATGAATACACAAGAAGAGGGTGTGAGAGCTTTGAGATTCACACTCAGCTCAAGCATTCTCTAATACTGTGCTTATTATCTGCCAGACATGAGGCTCTGCTTATAACAATTTTTAACCACATAAGTTCTTACAGCAGGTTAACTTTCAAGGTTAGACAGGCTCTCTGATGGCACAGGCTCTCCCGCTGGAAAGTGGCATGGCCTGGGAGCTCCGTGGGTGGCAGCTAAAGGCATTTCAGGGGACCCTATTGAAGTCGGACCCTCATGACTGAGGCCAGTGGCACTACCTGGCACTTACTGAGTCAGATTTTTAATTGTTACCATCACACAGCGAGAGGATGCCAACTGTTTGAGCTCAGAAGAGGCAGCAGAATCATCTAGTCCAAAGTCTCTTTGTAAGAATGAGATCAGTGAGGCTCAGAGACTAGCAATTTATGGTAAAAATGCCCCACTCTAGATCCAGTGCTCATCACATTAACAATATAAATTAGGAGGTGTTGTGAGGACTGAATGAGTTAATCCATGCAGGGCACGTACAAGTGCCTGATGGAGAGAAATGGCTCAGAATCATCAATAATTACAACGATAGCGTCTGGCACCAGAAAAGGCTCAAGAAAAAGCAGCTATTACAATGAAGGCTCCAATTCTCTGTTGGAGTAGAAGCCTCTGTTTGATGAAATGCAGGAGAGGATCCAGTTGAGCACCGTGGATGTTGTTCTTTTTCTCTTGTGATACTCATTTCAGGGAGATGTTCCCTTGGGTCATCCTGACGCTCAGGGAAGGACAGGCTGAGGGTGGTGTTTCTAGGAATCGCAAATATGTTTATTGGACTTTCAAGCATATATTTTATTAGAATGCAAATGAGCAGAAGTGACCTTATTACAGACATAATCTTGACTCGGGTCTAATATTTTTTTAAAGTAGGTTATAGGGGGAATTCCCTGGTGGCGCAGTGGTTAAGAATCTACCTGCCAGTGCAGGGGACACAGGTTCAATCCCTGGTCGGGGAAGATCCCACATGCCGTGGAGCAACTAAGCCCGTGCGCCACAACTACTGAGCCTGCACTCTAGAGCCCGTGAGCCACAGCTACTGAGCCCATGTGCCACAACTACTAAAGCCCATGCGCCTAGAGCCCGTGCTCTGCAACAAGAGAAGCCACCGCAATGAGAAGCCCGACCACCGCAATGAAGAGTAGCCCCCGCTCACCACGGCTAGAGAAAGCCCACGCGCAGCAATGAAGACCCAACGCAACCAAAAATAAAAAAATAAAATTGACTCTTTAAAAAAATAAGTAAATAAAAAGTAAGTTATAGGGATGGGGCGGGGTGATGGGGAGTTCGCGTTTAATGGGACAGAGTTTCAGTTGGGGAAAATGAAAAAGTTTAAGAGATGATGGAGGTAATGTTAGCACAACAGTGTGAATGCACTTAACGCTACTGGACTGCTCACTTAAAAATGGTTTAAATGGGGCTTTCCTGGTGGCGCAGTGGTTGAGAGTCCGCCTGCCGATGCAGGGGACACGGGTTCGTGCCCCGGTCTGGGAAGATCCCACATGCCGCGGAGCGGCTGGGCCCGTGAGCCATGGCCGCTGAGCCTGCGCGTCCGGAGGCTGTGCTCCACAACGGGAGAGGCCACAGCAGTGAGAGGTCCGCGTACCGCAAAAAAAAAAAAAAAAAAAAAAAAAAAAAAAAGGTTTAAATGGTAACTTTTCTGTTATGTATATTTTACCACAATTAAAAGTGATGTTATAAACTCCAGGACCTCATTCCTTTAAACACTACCTTTCAGTGATTGGGTCATTCTTTGTCTTGGGTCTTCACCAAGCATCTCCGTATACTGGCTTATAAGGACACGCTAGAACTTTCTAGGTGGGGAACCAAGGCTCAGAGAGGTCCAGTAACTTGCAAGGCCACCTTTGCCAAAAGGCACCATGGCAGGGGGACCATGGCAGCACCAGGCACAAGATTCAAACTGCGCTCAGCCAGTCCGACTTAAGTCTTTGGTCCAGGTTGTAACAGGGAAGAGACAAGTCTGACTACAGGCTGGATCTGTTTCTTTTACTTTAACCTTTGCTTTCCACTGCTTTTGTTCACTAAAAGGATACTGTCTATAAGTAATGGCCTGCCTCGGGGAACCCTGCCCCTCTGCCTGTATGTTAAAGTGCCTTTGTTCAGGGAAACATCCGGACCCTGTCCACGTGTGGATGGCTACAAGAAAGAAGAAATTAACACATCCCCTCCCTGAGGCTGGCTATTCCAGGGGATGTTTGCAAAACTTATGGCCTTTTTACTTTACTTCCTCGTCTCCTCCCCGCTCTGTGCTATAAGAGAAATTGGCATCCAAACCCCAATAAGATGGTTTTTCGGAGTCACTAGTCTGTCATCTTCTCAATCTGCCAGCTTTCCGAATAAAGTCGTCTTCCCTGCCTCGCCTCCCGATTCATCAGCCTGTTGTGCGGCGAGCGGAGCGAGCTTGGACTCGGTAACAAGGTGTTTTACCCTCAACTGCCATGCTGATCATTAAATCTCAGATAAGCAGCCTAGTAATTTTATTCACTGTATAACTGTTGAGAGTTTTGGCAGTACTTGTTGGGAGGCCCCCAGAGTGGCCAGCCACTCGCTGGGGTGTGGTGTGACACTGCAGTTGACAATCCCCAGCTGGGAGCCAAGAAAAGGGAAATTGCAGTGCCAGCCAGAGGTGACAGTATGGGCTCCGCCTTGAACAATGGGGAAAGAGACTTGAAGGGGCTGGGGAACATGCACATTAGGATCTGGGGGTGGGATGACTCAGGGCCGCTGCCGAAATCCAGCATCCTTCTGCTGGCAGAGTCAGGTGCCCTTGGGGCTGGGGCTGTGTCCACCTGGGGGAGAACTGCCTTTTCCTAAGGAGGCCTCCGGGGCTGTCAGGGACCCTGCGGCAGTGCTGTCTTGTGGGACTGAGGGTCCCCAAGCCTCGCCTTGGTCTGCGTGTACTGGAGGCCTGGCTCACCAAGATGTTCCCTGAAGACTGATTCCACCTCATCTAGAATGTTTCTAAGAGCAAGGCCTTTCTAGCTGGACAGACCTGGGGTGGAGTCGGGTTGCCGGGGGGACCAGGGGAGGGGGCTCAGGCTCCACCTTTCCCTTGATGAGTGCCCTGAGTCAGACATTGAAGCTGTCTTGTACTCATTTTCCTGGGCAGTAAGATGCCCATTTATCTTCCTCAGGGTGTCATGAGGATTGAATGGAGTAATCCTTCAAGGTGGCGCCTGCCTAGCATGAACTAGGTGCTTAGTAAGGCCAGCCCATGACTCATGATGGTTATATTTCCACACCAGGTGCCCTAGGGGGAGACGTTGGCCCACACAGGTTTGTAGGACTCTCATTGATGTGTTGTGCTGGATTTTTTCCCCAGGTAAATGCACCAGATGTTGTCCTCTGGCACTACATCTCTTTGTACAAGAGCTGAGTGCCTTTGAGTTTTTAGCTACATCTTGGAGTAGCATCCAGGTCTCAGGCACCCCTTGAGAGCATCCTCCCTCCCTCCCTTTGTTCCTCCCATCCTTACCATCCCTCCATCCTTTCCTCCCTCTTTTTCTCCCTCCCTCCCCCTTCCTCCATTCTTAACGCCCTCCCTCCATCCCTCCCTTCCTTTTTGGCCCTCTCCACAATCAGGAGAAGGGGGTGCCTACCGTGAAGGTCCCACTCGGAAGCTGCTGGATGCACGATGCTTGGCTTTGAACAAGATGGGGACTGAGCCCTTTATACCCCAGGGAAAACCCTTAGTCATGCGGTCCCCCTCCCCCTCCTCACATCAAGAGGACAGCCTTTCATGAATCTGGCAGGTGGGCTGCCTCTGAGGGGGAGGAGGCATCATAACGCTCTGGCTTGGAGCAGGTGAAGACTCCATATTAAGAGGCCCATCTTGAGCCTTAGAGGAGACCCAGGCTCTAATTAGAGAACAATGGCTCCCCTGTTCCACACACCCTACCTCATCTCAAAGGCTTGGAGGCCCAGAGATTATGTGTCCGGGTCATCAGGGGAGTGCCAATGAAATTCACAAGCGCTCTCCCTCCAGGAAAAGGGCTGGCTGTGTCTAGTCTAGTTAATTTTCCAGCAAGAGGATCTCTGGGGTGATTCTTCTTCTATGTGCCTGGCCTCGGGCCTGGGAATTTGATACCTCTTTCCTTTAGGGCTTTTCTGCACAAACTGGGGGGTAGGGCGAGATGGGGCTTTGAAATCAGACATCCTAGGTTCTAGTGCCCATCCTGCTTACTCATTACCAGAGGGATATGGAGCTTGGAGCTTGTCACTGCTCAGCCTTGACTCCGCATCCATGGGGAGTAATCCCACGAGGACCGTGAGAATGAGGTGAGCCAGGTAAAGTGCATGGTTGGTAGCGGGGCCCATTAAATCCCAGTTCTTCCTTGTTCCTTGATAGCCCCCTTGGGAATTGTTTCCTTTGCAGATTTAACAAGGAGAGAGAACATTTATTGAAAGCCTATTGGGCACCACAGATGTTTTGACAGGATTTTGTCCTCATCATCCTGACAGTGGTAGGATACAGCACTAGCTCCATTTTACAGATGAGACAAACAGGGGTCGTCGAGGTTTGAGGAGTTAGTCTCAGCGCACGTGTGATGGGACCGTTCTTGGCTTACAGGTGAACCTGGCTGTGAGCTGTTCCCTCCACTACTGCTTCCTGGAGAACCAGGGTTCATCCAATGATCAAATCTGGGAAGAGCTGAGCCTTTACAGAGCCCACTGAAGGGTTTCTTCAAATCATTAGTTGTCCTTGTGCATCGAAGCTTTGTTTATAGACCATTAATTATTGTTCAGTATCTCAGGTGCATAGAGGAACGAAGCTATGCCATGCCCATCCTTTCTCACTAATACAGAAGACGCACCATCTCTAAAACGATTACGTCAAGGGGGGTAGATGGATCAATGTGGCAAAATTCATCTTTTCAGCATCTCCAGAGCCCAAGTTCTGCTCAATGCCAAGGGGTAAAAACAATCTGCATAGGTGTGTTGTTCTAGACATTTCTCGGGATTTGAGAAGCTCATCTTCTTCCCGTAGCCAACAGCAGAGGGTATCTCAACCTTAGCACTATTGATATTTTCGTCCAAATAAGTTTTTGCTGTTGGGGTCTCCTGTGCATTTTAAGGTGTTTAGCGGCATCTTGGGGCTCTACCCACTAGTTACCAGTAGCATTCCCCCTCCCCAAGTTGTGACAAACAAAAACGTCTCTAGATATTGCCAAACAAACATCCCTGGGGGTCCAGATCACCTCTGATTGAGAATCACTGGCCTAGAATATCCCTGGAACCTTGGCCTTTTCCTTCTCTGTTGATGGAACAGGGTGAGAATCAAAGTTTTCACAAGAACTCAGACATAAGAGAAAAAAGGCTGTTGTATGGGAGTTTAAAATTTAAGATTGCATTATGATAGCACCCTATTTCCTCACTCACACAAGCCCCCAACACAGGGCACCTATTCAGGATAGGTGGACATAGCAACATGCCCACACGAACTCATAGAAACACGCAACGGCACTAGGAAACCCACAGGGAATCCCTTTTGCTCCCTTTTCCCCTCCCCCTCTCCTTCCTCCTTCCTTTCTTTCTCTTGCTAGTTTAGCTAGTCTTTTGGACTTGAGTGAAATAGACAGAAATGCACCTGTGCTTTGCCTCCAGGAAGAATCCTGGTTAATGATGTTACATGTGTAGCTGCATGGTCTCCTTCATTGGCTGGGGCACCATAACTGTCCTATCTCTCTACCTCATCAGTAAACCACTGGTGGCCACATATGCACAAATGAGAAGGGATGCCAGTGTGGAAGCACCCTCTGAGGCCTCCTCATTGCAATAAGCATCCGCCACATCAGGACTTATTCAGCCCAGGAGGGGCCGACCTCCCCTCACACTCCAGGAGACCGTGGACTCCAGGCTCCGGCCAGTTTTCCTTGGGCCCTGTTTACTTCCCACCATGGCTGCTGTTGGGATAGTGTGACCCTAGAAAACCGGTCCCATGTGGTGCTCTGAGCCTTTGTCCCCGCTGCGTGGGCCTCAGACGTCCCCCACACTCGGGCTTTTAAAAGTTGTGGTCGTGCTTAATCATTATCCCTAAAGGATGGTTGGCGGGTTCCACACAAGCGGATAGCTTGTGACCAAGTCATTCATCAGTTCATCCTCTACTTTCCCTGATGATAAATTACTCTCTGTGGAACCTCAGGGATCATCTCCTGCCAAAGGTCCCTAATTAATATCAATTTGATCCATCGCAGAGGGTCGGGTCAGATTAACCCACACTTAATGAATGATGCTGTTTTCTTGGTTCCTATCCAGGTACGAATCCCTTTGCCTTAGCAAATTTACTGTATCCTCCTCAGCTCTGCAAACAAGGGGCCCTTTGCAGGCCCTAGGAGGCCCGACCACAGCTGTTTATGAGCTTGACATTTGCGTAACTTTGAGGGCCCCTCAGGTGTCCTGGGGATTAACAATAAATCTTTCTGTGTTTGACCAGACAGGGAAGCATCTAGCTACTTCCTTCACGAAAGAACCTGATGTGCACTGGTCGTGCAAGGACGCTCAGGGTCTCCTGATGGGCGAAAACGGTCTCCACTTGGATGCTACTTGGAAAGTGGCGGGCATAGATCATAAAGGAGGGAACGCTGATGCTCGGCAGTGCGCAAGGTGAGTGAGTGGAGGGAAGCTGTCCCTGCAGTGAGGAACGAAGGGGTCCAGACGGGGCCGCTGGAGAGAGCTTAGTAATGCTCTGCATAGACACTCAACATTTACAGAGATACTGGAGCAACCACAGACATGGAAATAGCATACAGGGACCTGATCCCATAAGGGGGCTGACTCATTGTGTGAGTGTGCAGTAGAGGGTTGACTCAGGAGGGCATTCAAACCATGCAACTGCCAAAGAAAGGTCTGGTCCTTGAACAGTTCCTAGGACATAACCTCTAAACCCTTGGAATATATTGCTTGGTAAGTGTCCTTGTATACCTGGTGCTTTGGAGCATGCCAGGTAGTCTAAGCTAACAAGGTGATTTGTAGTGGGCGCCATGAGTCACACAGTGTCAGCTTGACCTCTGGAGGGGCTGGATCCTGAGTAACTAAGCTCAGCCATGTGGGCACTTCATGTTCCCGCATGGCTGGCCCCCAATAAAACCCCTGGACTCCATGGCTTGGATGAGTTTCCTGGTTGACAGTACTCCATACACGCTGCCACACATCATTGCTGGAGGAATTCAGTGCTGTCCATGTGAGTCCACGTGGAGAGGACACGACCAGAAGCTTGTGCCTGGACTCTGCCCTCTGTACCTTTTCCCTTGGCTGACCTTAATCTCTACCTTTTTGCTGCACTCAATGGTAAAAGTGACTATAAGAACTTTTCTGACTTCTGTGAGTCCTATCAGTACGTCATCAAACCTGAGAGTGCCCTTGGGCACCCCCAAATACAGTGGGACGCACAGAAGAGAAATCAAGACCAGACATCCACAAAACAACACTCTCCACCTCCCCGTGAGGGAAGGTTCTCATCACCTCCTGTTTAGGGGGCTTGGAAGGTTATGTGGATCGATAGTATAGCAAGTCTGATGAGTTGTAGATAAGCAAGTTTGAATAAACTGTATAGAGAAATCATATGTGACTCTCTCCAGAGGATGGGTTCAGCTTTCCTCATTTATCCTTGTGTTGCCTTCCTGAAGTCCCAAGTTTAAGCCACTTCAGGGACTATGTCAGAGTCTCAGTGCCTGGACTGGTTTGTTCATGCTAGCATGACACCCCACATCCCATTTCTTCAGTCTCAGTCATCATGGGAGTCCCTTGAGCATAGCTACTAGGTTTCCATGACCTTGGAGCAGGCAAGGGAGTCAGCATCACTGCATTGATTGTGAGAGCTCTAACATGTGGTCTTCCACATTCAATACCTTACACAGATTCACAGGAGAGAAAGAATTGCTACTTCCAAAAAGACCCACATTCAATTAATTGACGATCTGGCTGCAGCCTGGGTGAATTCTGCCAGTGCAGCCAACTTGGGCCAGGGGCCAGGGTGGACAGATGTTGCCCAACTTACTGTTAGGTCCCATTGCTTTTTCAAGACCTCAAACAGACTTGCAGATATTCTCGAGGCATTTTTGTTTCAAGGCTGGAAAAAAAAAAAGAGAGGGAACTCATGGTATGGAGAAGGAAGTGCTACAGAAACATAAATTCTGACAGCGCCAGCGATGGCTCAGGCTCTTCCCAGGGGACCAGTATATGGCAGTGCACAGGACAGGGTGTTACTCAGAGTCAACGTCAGAGAATGAAGGAACTTGTGCAAGACCCCCTTGCTAGTTAGCAGGAAAGTCGTGTTGAGAGCAAAGCCTCATTTCGCCAGTCTCTGCCCAGTGATGTTTTTCTAACACGCAGCTGTACCAACCTCATCTCCCCAGTTTGCACAATGCTAATCTGAACTCATTATGATGTTCCGTAAATGCAAAATGCTGTTTGTGTGGAGATTTTAATGTGGTGAGGACAATAGAAGAGCTAGTCAATAAGCAGTTTGCAAGATTTCCTATTCCCTCTCCCCACACCGGGTAAATAGACTTCTATTTTTGACTACTGAGCCCCTCCAACACCCCCAGTCCAAATGCTTGGTTTTTATGATGCAGAATAAAGGTGACGGTGGAAGGAAAAGACAGCGGAAGGGGGGTGATGGATTTGTATAAGAAATAAGGAAGCTGTGTTTGAGAGATAAAAAAAGTGAAAGGCAAAAGGAAAAGAAAATAATCAGAGGAGATATATGGAAACAGAGAAAGAGCCAGAAAGCTTGATTTTAGGAAAGTTATTGAGTGATACGTTGGAAAATGAAGCCTAAAGAGAGGTTTTGAGACGGTAGCTTGTGGGGAGGTGAGAGAGAATGGAGGGGCAAGAAGAATAAGAAGAGTTTCTAAGAAGTGTTCTCATGGATCTCATTTGATATTCTTCAAAAGCCACAAGGAAGGACTGGGCAGCTAAATTGTTTTTTGTTTGATTGTTTGTTGTTATGTAAAGCATGGCCATATGACCACCTGGCTTGTAGTTGGGTTATACTTAGAAAGGATTTTTCACAGAGTTCAACCTGGTTCCATGCTTTTCAGAAAGCCAGAGTCCCTTGACCAGACAGTTCAGGAAGATGGCACAATACCATGGCCAAACTACTGGTTTTGGGAACGGATAGACTACGTCAGCCACTTTTGTCAACAGGAATAGAAGAAAAAAAGATGTCTGGCATCTCTGAGGTTAAATGGGGCTCAGATGCCTTGAGGACAAGGACAGAGGTACCATACACATCCACTTCTAGCACTTCAAGCTGCCGTCTTCTTCTTGAATTATTTGTATACATTTTGCTTTGGTCAGGAATTTGAGTGCTTACATGGTGATTGTCTCCTGTTTCATTTGTCTTTGTCTTTTTAGCTTACATGGGGACTCAGAGAGGATAAGAAGCTTGCCCAAGAGCACAGAGAAAGCAACAGGGTTTGGCTGGGCTGACTCCTGCATTGTTTTTTTCAAACTGTTAGGTGAAGGGGATTCAGAAGTACCCTAGACTCTTTTTGTCTAGGATTCATGATCACTAGATGAGTTATACTTCCTCCTACTGACCCCGTGCTAAGGCAGGAACATCACTCAGAGTTCTAGAACCTTTTCATAGAACGCGATTTACAATACAGTCCAGCTGTGTACTTACTGTGTGAGTGGAACACCCTTTTCACCCTCTGACAGATGTATGTTGCATTCTTCAGAAACCAGGAGTAGTATTCAAGACAATACCTAAAGATTTAAATCAGGGTTGAACGCAATTACTATCCTTTGTGGCTATAAGAAGAGGACCATACTAAAAAAAAAAAAAAAAAGGTCATAATGGCTAATTATTCATAGCAAGGAACTCCCTCTCCATCTTTATAGGCTGTGGGAGGAGAGGTAGAGAATGAGTCTGAGTAGGAAAAAGCTTAGACTTCAGAGTCAGAAAGGCATTTTTAGTTCTGCCATCATTACTTACTAGAATGTATGACTTTCAGGCTGATTACTTAATTCTCTGGGCCTTGGTTTTTTCATATATAAACGAGAGGCACTAATAGAATCTACACTCATAGGGTATCCTGAGGATGACATGAGCTAACATTTGCAAAGTTCCCCAGTGGTGCCGGGCTTATCATAGGTGCTGGATCAATGATGATGTTCATTTATTTATTTTTGTGTGAGGTGGAGTAAAAGCGCAGGGCTGCTATAGTCAACAATGTAGCAAATACTTAGCAAAATAATATCCTGCTCTTGGCTGGTGGCCGCAGGGATTGCTTCAGAAGGCTTCAGTGAAAAGGCCATGCGTGTCATTAGCAAGAAGAGTTTTCAGGACAGGCTGTGTCACTGGCTTCACATAGGACTCTTGGGAATCCAGTTCCCTTTCAATCCTTCGCCTGAGCTATGAGCTATGTTGGGCTAAATATTCTCTAACTTCTCTTCCATCTGTATCATTCTGTGATTCTTGCATATTCTGGGGAGCAACCAATTGCTCATGTAAAGCTGGCTGTAAAGATTTCCCAGGTTCTGTCACCCTCAATTTACAGGACACTATAAAACTCTGGAAACCGAGGCACAGAGATGTTGCTGCTGGAACTCTGGGAAAAGTCAAAACTCACTTGCAAGACCCAAGTAGATGTTGGGAAGGACAGGGTTTCCTGAATAGGGACATATGCTGGGACAGTGGCCTCCTGTTTTTGCTGTAGCCACGTGGAACTCTCTGTGGTCCTGAGATGTTCCAGTCTTCCTCTCACTCTCCACCTTTTTTGCCTGGAGTGGCCTCTCCCAGTTTTTGCCTAACAAACTCCCATTCCTCCATAAGCCCTATGAGTTATTTCCTCTGGGGTCCCATGGCTCGTATTCTGCTATACGAGCTTGTATAGCAGAGCTTGTATCTGCTATAGCATCTGTCACACTTCTTTGTAATTTGTCTCTTCACATGGCCAACTGCCCCACTAAACCACGATATTTTTTGACCCCAGGGGCCGTCCTAGTCAACAAGCACACTGAGTAATGCCAGTCTCCTACTCTGTTATTCTTATCCCATATTCAGTGCTTGCTATATGATTATAGAACAAGTCACTATTCACTTAAAGGGAAAAAAAAGGGATAAGCTCAGTTTTACAGATGCTTCATTTCTCTAAATTTAGACTCAAGTTTCTTTCTGGAAATTTCTGCCTTCCTCATTATCCTTCCAGCAGATATGCAATAGGGATGGTTCAAATTTGACTTTCTTCCAAGGGTGTGAGATTAATAGGTTTTGCCTGCGTGCATGACTTGATTTTGTCACTTACTATGTCATATTTTAATGTGTGTTTATGACCATTTATTCCCCCCAACTATGAAATGCACAGTTTCTGGGTTTATTTCTGATTTGTCTCTATATCCTGCTGGCTCCGTTCAGTGTTAAATTGATACATAATGGAGACTTGACACTTGTTATTGATACAAAGTGCTCGATGGATAGAGAAAGAAGGAAGGAATAGTGGGCTGATCAAGTAGGAAAGTATTGTTGCAAAATGTCCTCTTCTTTAGGATCAGCCTGTGCTGTGGAGAAATGCCTCCACCTTGCTGGCTAACACCTTCAGGTCTACGAACCTTGCATATCTCCCTCCCTGTGTGGAAGAAGCATCCACTCTGATTGGGAGATTCAAGACCAGGGCCAGAAAAGAGTGATTGAAAAAGGCTGCCAACCTGACCTTGGGGCTCAGAGCCCGTGGATAATGGGCGTTTAAAAAGCTGAAAGATCGGGCTTCCCTGGTGGCGCAGTGGTTGAGGGTCCATCTGCCGATGCAGGGGACGCAGGTTCGTGCCCCGGTCCGGGAAGATCCCACATGCCGCGGAGCGGCTGCGCCCGTGAGCCACGGCCGCTGAGCCTGCGCGTCGGAGCCTGTGCTCCGCAACGGGAGAGGCCACAACAGTGAGAGGCCCGCGTACCGCAAGGAAAAAAAAAAAAAAAAACTGAAAGATCTCATAAGTAGACTTTGAAAATAACTTTAAAGATCTGAGAGATTGGCCTCCTACTATTGGAGCCGAAATATTCACCTACCTTGTTTGGCTTTGGGTTTACAGCCAAGGATAAATCCCAGAAGAAAGGACAGTGTGTCAGCTTTCCTGGGCAGGAAAACATCCACACCTAGTCCTTCTTAATATAAGATGGGGTCTGCCTTCTAATTTTCCATTTACATCTTTATTATTAAGTCAGCAAATGACTGCTAGGGATTTATGAAAAAACTGGAATTTAGGTGGACATAACCTCCCATTAGTCTCTTCTAGCAAATCGTGCCAGGCTGAGGGCATTGGGGTTCTGGGACCACTCAAAATCCTCTGTAATTATTCCAGCGGATATGACACAACACAAGTCAACTTGACAGCACTGACTGTGTCATGGCCCACCCTTGGCTCTGGGGACCCAGAAATGAATGATGGTTCATGCTGGTTCTCAAGGAAGTGACAGTGCAATAGAGGACTCACTGGAGTGTGCATTCCTTGGGGTACCCCTGTCATCTGTGTGTGGATTACTTAATGCCTCATCACTTAGTGGCCTGCAGAGGAGTCAAGCAGAATCAGAAGCCTGTAAATACTGGATGTAAAAAGCAGTGAGTGGCTCAGGTTACCTCACTGCCTCCATCCTGGGGTCTCTCTTCTGGCTCATGCAGAGACATTGCTGGAAAAAGCGGCACAGCTCCATCAGGCAAGGGTTGAGCTTCTGGATGGCCAGTGTGAGAGGAGCAGAGGTCATGGCCGCCTCCTTGAGGAGCGGCTCAGGACACCCTAGAAGATGCAATCCCAGACCATTCACATCAACAAGAATTTAGCAAGCATCTTGCCTTTGTTAGGGACTGTGCTGAGTGAATACTGTCTTGCCCCTGATCTCAGGTAGCTTGAGAACAACAGGTAAACATAGCCTTGCTTCACCATGTCTGGTAAAGCTGCTTGTGAGACTTCCCAGAGATAGGTAGAGAAAGGAAGGGGTCTGGTTCCTGGAAGAAATCAGAGATGGTCTCACTGAAATTTTCTTAAAAATAAAAGTTCTGGGCTTCCCTGGTGGCGCAGTGGTTGAGAGTCCGCCTGCCGATGCAGGGGACACGGGTTTGCGCCCCAGTCCGGGAAGATCCCACATGCCGCGGAGCGGCTAGGCCCGTGAGCCATGGCCGCTGAGCCTGCACGTCCGGAGCCGCAACGGGAGAGGCCACAACAGTGAGAGGCCCGCGTACCTCAAAAAACAACAATAACAACAAAAAAACATCTCCTGTGAAACGTCAACTCTACCGAATAAAAAGCTGGTAAAAAAAAATAATAATAAAATAATAAAAGTTCTAATGAGAAATTTTATATTTCTCATTAGATGGATGGAACGATGGATGGATTGATGGAGCCATACAGAGATACATATATAGATATAGATACAGATAAAGACATAGATAAAGATACAGATAAATATAGTCAACTTGTTTTCTAAAGCTCAGTCTGACGACTGCCCCCATCTGCACCACTCCTGTGTTTCTTTAGAACCTGGAGAAAACAGGGCTATAATATCCTGTGGTAGCATAATCACGTCTTTGTGTCTGAAAGGTCCATTCACCATTCACTGCAGGTTGAGAATGGGGCTGAGGCAGATCTTAGGTCATATGAAAAAGGAGACGGTGCAGGGTCCAGCAATTTAATAATGCCCCGTTGACATATGACTAGAACATTCAGGTCCAGGAACATTCAGGAAAATCATATGGAAAGGCATCTAGGAGTGGGAGGGACCTGAGGACTCAACCAGCTTTGAAGGACTCACTTTGTGTCAATTTCTCTCTCATGGAAACTGGCTCCACGGGAAAAAAGGAGAGTTTGACATCCAAAAATTGGAAAAATGCAGCGTAAACCACAGAAACTCCAAGTCCTGAGCCTCTGTCAGGGGTCCTGAAAACCCACATCCAAGCCCAGGAGAGGGATTCCCCTAGAATTCTGTAAGATTGAAGTGTCCAGGAATGTCCTTTCACAGGGAATAGAAGTAAAGGGCACCCAGTGGCTGGGGATGGACTTTTGGAGTCATCCTTTTTTCCTTCCCCTCTTTCTGCTAACATCATGCTCATTGTAAGAACAGCTTCCGTGTTTCCAAGGTGTACGGCACATTCTCAGTGGGTGCCCATTCAAAAAAAGTTGATTGAATTAAGTTATATGGAGCGCTCCAGTTCCAAACCACTTCCACACACATTATCTTACCTAATACAAAGCGCTGCAGAGAAAATACATTTTTAGTGCCCACGATAATTGTTATTATTCTTGCTTTACAGCGGAGGAAACTGAATTCTGGAATTTGAGCGCAGGAGGTTACCTCACCAGTAAATAGCAGAGCTAGGGTTTAATCCCAGCAGTCTGAATCTAAATTTATCAAACAAACCTCTTTTTATTATACTACACAACTTTGTCTAAAACAAACAAAAGCTATAGGAGCGACAGGGCACTGGTACATACTTGAAACCTGGTGGGGTCCTGGGACGAGGACTGGCTCTTCTCCAGGGGTAAAGGGCCACGCAGCAGGGAGATCACCTGCAAGGACAACAGTGGCCTCGCAAAGGTCAAAATGAAATGGACCTGGGGTATACACACAAGCAGAGAATCATGGCATCTTAAAGATAAAGAGTTCTAAAAATCCATAGGGAAATTGTAGTCAAGAAAGAGAAAGTGATTCATGCAAGATCATAGGGTGATTTAATAGCACAGCAAGACTTAGTTCTCCTGCCTCTCTTCCTGCTGGAACCAGTAAAATACAATAACAAGCTTAGTCTGCCTACAGGCACCCCTGTCCCGTCACGCCCCTGCCCCAAAACAATATTTTCCACCTGGGGTATTGGGTGCCTCTTTCCAGGGCCACATTCTTACCTGCCTGTGGATATCTGGGGGCTGGAGCCTTCGTAGGACTTGTAGTCTGTGTGCCAGGGGTGAATGGGCCTGGGATGAGAGGAGAGAGAGGGGAGCTTGAGTTTCTTCAAAGGATGCCTGAGCAGAAAAGGCCCCCTGCCACCAGTCCTGCCCTGTTCATCCACTGCTGCTTATCAAGCCAGGTAGCTGGGGGTTGCTGAGGATGCAGAAATGAGTAAGAAATAGACTCTACAATGGAGGCATCCCCAATGTTGAGGAGGAAATGGGCAAGTCCCATCAGTAACTGTGATACAGTGTTGGTGCCACTGGAAACCCGCTAACACTGGTATGACATGGGAGAGAAGTGGACTTGCATGGGCCACGTCCCAGCACGGTGCTCCTAGGCAAAGAGGACACGAGATGCTCTTCATTCGCCTGAGTCTGGTGCGCACACTTACTCCATCCCCACCCCTATACACTGCCCAGCATCATCATGATAGAATGTGGGCTCATCTCAACAATTCTTTTGATCCTGTGTTGAAGTCCTGATTTAAGGACCACTTTGGGAAGTGATCCTGCTGTCAAGATGCATGCCTCTGGCAAAACCAGCAAAGCAGCCTTCTTACAGAAAATGAGGGAGAGGAAGAGGAAACAGGCACTTAACCTCGTGTGGTTAAGCGGAAAGGAAAGGGGTGAGGCTGGGAGTGCAACATGAGCGCGGGGATGGGGGATGGGGGTGGGGCAGGTGACATCTTCTCTGGGATGGAGAAAGCATAGCCGTAGGTGAGGGAACAGGCCTTCCAAGCAGAGGAAAGTGCGTAATAAGCAAAGACTCAGAGAAGTGAGTGGAAGGCCGTTTGCTGGAGTCTGAAGGAAGATGTGGAGGGGTGGGGTGAGGTCTCAGAGCCTGGGCTGGACCCAGTACCGTGTTGCAATCCTGCTTGTTCCTTATTAGGCTCCTCTGCTAGGATGGTGGGTGTGGCAGCGTTGAGTTCAACTGCCTCAGTAGCAGCGATGGGCAGCATGACACATTTACAAACAGAAAACTATGGGCAGGACGCCCAACTCCAGGGGGCAACCTGGTCGTTTTCTCAGAGTCGGTCAGCATCCTCTTTGTTTTTTTTTGTTGTTGTTGTTATTTATTTTATTTATTTATTTTTGGCTGCGTTGGGTCTTGGTTGCTGCGTGCGCACTTTCTCTAGTTGCGGTGAGCGGGGACTACTCTTTGTTGCGTTGCGCGGGCTTCTCGTTGCGGTGGCTTCTCTTGTTGCGAAGCACGGGCTCTGGGCGCACGGACTTCAGTAGTTGTGGCTCATGGGCTCAGTAGTTGTGGCTCACAGGCTCTAGGTACACAGGTTTCAGTAGTTGTGGCACACGGGCTTTGTTGCTCCGCGGCACGTGGGATCTTCCCCGACCAGGGCTTTAACCCGTGTCCCCTGCATTGGCAGGCGGACTCTCAACCACTGAGCCACCAGAGAAGCCCTCAGCATCCTCTTTGGATTCCCCTCCAGGCACTGACTGTAAGCCCTGAATACAGAAGGCGCCGCTGATGCTTGCTGCCTGGGTGTGGTTCTGTGTAGTTCTGGAAGATGAGCAGCCTTAACTCTAACCCAAACACAGAGCTGACTCGTCTGTGGTCACTGTTCACAGTTTAACTAAATGACTGCAGAATCACAGAGGATGAGAGCTGCAAGGGGCCGAGGGCAAAAGCAGACACATGCTCTCCTCTGGTTGACATCCGCTTTGCCACTACCCTCCTGAGCATGTGTCCTGAAGCTGGCTGCTACGCTGTCGCCCTGGGGGCAGTAGGACAGGGCGGTAGGCGTTGCCATTGACTGAGTGATTCCAGGGTGCTCCGTGTGGAGCTGAACTCCTTACAGACATCACGTAACTGAATCAGCACAGCCACTCTGAAAAGTAAGCATCACCTTCCCCATTTCGAAGATGAGAAAACCAGGACTCAGAGAAATCAAAAGAACTGCCTAAGGAGACAGCAGTGGTGGAGTCAAGATGTCAACGCTACTGTGTCTGAAATAAAGGCCAGAGCTCAAAGCCTCAGGGCTGTGCTGGCTGCTGTTGCCTGTTGGCCAAACCCAAGTATGTTAGCCTGTATTTTTCCCGATGCCATTATGTCAGGTGTTTCTCCGATTTAAGCTAGCAATTGCATTCCCAGAGCTGTTTGTACAATTGAGATTTTGCACCTAAAGTTAAGACTTTACCTTTGCACCCTTTGACATTCGTTTACTTCTTCCTGTCTACTTCTTCAGAAATTCAGGTAATTCAGCAAAGCTTTTACTGAGTGTCTGCTGTGTTTCATGGGAACTGGAGAGTAAAGACACAGGCCTTTAAAGAGAGCACAGTCCAGAGGGGAGAAAGGTCAAGTTCATGGCCCCTAACATGTTACGGTCCATTGAAAACAGAAGCGTAGAAGAAGGGCCTCTGGCTGCAGAGATCAGAGGAAGTGATTTTAAAAACACGTAAACCATTTTTGTCTGATCCTAGGAGTAGAAAATATGGAAAATTCATGACACTGAAGTGAAGAAAAATCAAGTCTTATCTATTGATACTTCCCAGATATAGTCAAGGTTAACATGTTGTGAATTTCTTTTCAGTCTTATTTTGGTTTATTTTTTATTTTCTGTGTAACTGTATCACACACGCACACGCATACACACATAAATACATAGACAAACACAAAATTGGAATCACACAGTTTTTCAGAGCTCAGGCCTTCCTCATACTATATGATTACATTTTAATGTGCATATCACTATATTTGTATATGTAATTAGTGGCGTAGGAGTGAGCATCCTCTCTTACCTGAGGTTGGGCTGGTCCCTGGTGGGCTGCCAGGCATGGCTGCTGTCCTGGTAGGAGTCTCGGAAAAGTTCCGTGTGTTCGTGGCCTTCTCGGCCTCTGCAGGAGATGTCGGCGGGGAGGAAAGTGTTTCCCAGGGAAGACCTCCAGGTGTTTTCTCACTGGTGGCCTGAGCCCAGGGCACAGGTAGTGTGGAAGCCCATGCCTGCCTGCGGGCTGTCACCCATGGAATTCCAGCCACCTTCCTGGTAGCTGCACAAGTGACAGTAACAGGGCACTTACTGCTTGAATGCTTTGATTCAGATGTAAAGTTGACAAGACATTGACATATAATCAAAGGGTACATGCAATGCGCATGCATAATATAGATAATCCAGGGACTTCAACCCTACCCTGAATTGGAATAAGGAGACCACACTAAACTTTGTTTTCCTAACTACTAATTTAAAAAAATTCTCCAAATTCCTAGGACGCTGAACAATCAGCTAGTGTGTGTGTCCAGAGGACAGTGGACACTGTCAAATTTAAGAAATACTGATTCTAATCATGTGATACAGTGGAAAGGTTTAAGGTAAGGGGGCCTGGAGGTGTAAGTTCTGCCCCCACCTCCTCCATGCTGTGAACTCTGGGGCAAGTTACTAAACTCTTCTCAGCTTTACCATTGAAATGGCAGTGATGATAATGTTGATGCCTGACTGACAATATCACAGGGCGGTTATTAAGACAAGTGTTCCCTCACTGGTCTTTTAAACAATTGCCAGGTGTTTTCACTCATTCATTCCCATGTTAAGAATTAAAATACATTTTTTTCAGGTTGTACAAAACTTATCCCCTGGGACGATTTTAAATCTGTAAGTTAAGTTGGGAACAGTTGCCATTTTAAAACTATTCCAATTTCTCATCCAGAACATGGTATAACCCTTTATTTATTTAAATATGCTTTTATTACTCTCTTGAAAGTTTTATAGTTTTTCTTATGCAAAACTAGCACTTTCCCTCTCAGAGTGATAGCTAGATATTTTATGATTTTTCTTGCCACTAGCAATCACATCTTTTTTCATAATATACTGGAAAGCTTTCTAATTCTGTATAATTGTCTTGATGTGGATATATTACAAAAAAATTTCTAGTTAGTGAATCTGATTCCTTTTCCTTGTTCTTGTTTCCCTGTCTGCTTGACTTTTATCAGTTCTCAAGCTCCTCAGGGGAGCCCCCTCTCTGGGCTTTCCAGGACAATAGCTCTTTGTAGGCTGGATAATAATTATCAGTTTACTTGTCTATGTCTCTCTCCCAGATCTGAGAGCTCAGGAAGGAAAGGGAACATTGCTAGAGCTGTGTTTTTTGACAGCTAGCCTGGGGTCTGATATTAAATATACGTATTGATGAGTGAATGAATGAATGAATGTATTCTGATGACTGTGGTCCATTGTTGGAACTCACTGAGATATAATTGTCTTTTAATGAAAGAGTTAGCTCAGATGTATCTTATTACAAATAGGATAAGCATGCCTTTTACATCTTCAGTGCCCACACCTCTGATCAGTGCCCACAGAAATGATGGGAAAAGTAGAACTTCTCAGCAGGTCAGCAGCAGCAGCTTTTTACACTGGCATCAAGTCACTAACGTATTCTTGGCAACATTATCCAGCCAGCTACAAATTAACCTAACCCTGCCTGCCATAAAATGTTGACTGCATTTCACCATTTAGTATGAATTTCCGGAGAGATATTGCTACCTGCTCTGTTAAAATGAAAATACCTGATGTTACCATATACCACATTTATATTACTCTCGGGGGATGCTGGGTGCACAGTATGAGGGAATTTTGTACTATTTTTAAAGCTTCCTGTGAGTCTTAAACTAGTATAACTGATTCACTTTGTTATAGAGGAGAAACCAACACACCATTGTAAAGCAATTATACTCTAATAAAGATGTAAAAAAAAAAAAGCAAAATAAACAGAAGTCAGGATGTTAAAAAAGAATTATAAAATTAAATGTTAGAAAGACATTATGCCAGTGACATTTGTTGCCTTTGCTTATAGGTATCATACCCATACTGGTTCACATCTATCTCTTCTTAAAGGGCTGCTGAACAAAGAGGTTGGTGGAGAAGGGATAAAGGAAGGATTTCACTTATTTATCTGAGCCTAGAGGGAAGTGCTGGGATAAACAGGACAGGAGAGGACGGGGTGAGAACTCTCACCCCAGTCTGGGAGGGTGGGAGAGGTGCCGTCCAGGGCGGCCGGGGCTCTGCTATGACCCTCAGGATGCTTGTTTGTGTTCATGGTCTGTTCTCCCTCTGAAGGAGGAGTTGTCTCTGTCCTGGGAGAGCTTCTCAGAGCAGACACTCCAGCGTTCTGGGATCCACGTGGGGGGCTTGTCCTTGGTAGCGTTTGCTGGCTTGTGGGTGTGAGCTGTGAAGTCAGGGCCATCCCCCTGGTAGCTGCACATTCAAGGAGACAATCAATGGCAGCTTTACTATGCTTGACACTTTGCACACAGAGATCTGTTGAGCCACTGAAAGGTCATTGGACAGCAAATATACAGAATGCAGAGATTCAAACCTTACTCGGAGCAGTATGTTATATCACCAAGAGGAGGGTTTCTCCTTGAATGACAGATTAAGCTAAAATATCGAGGGGTGAAAATGCCACGGGCAAAAGCAATGTGCACAGAATGCAAAACTGTCAGGCCAGAAAGCATCAGACACTTGAGGTGTTTGCTGAACAGAACGTGGATCCTGTCAGGGCCCTTGCCCACTTCACAACCCTCAGCCCCTCCACAGCTCTGCCACTGGTCCCAGGAAGAGGATTGCGTTTGCTCATGTGCCCTGTGGGTCTGACTAGGGGCCAGTGGTGAAATCTGGGGGAACTAGGGGCTGCCAGTAAGAAACCCACTTGAAAGGTGGCCCCCCACAGAGACAGAAGGAAAGCTTCATTCAGAAGGAGATCTACACAGTGCCCTTGGATTCCCCATGAGGAAAAGGAGGAAGAGGTCCAAGTGCTCATTAAGCCTACCTCGGGAAGGCTTAGGGGATGGAGGCTGCATGTTAGGATAGGACAGGCTCTCACTAGCCCATAAGGTCCCCTCCTCTGGGTGGACAAAGCCTGGCCTGCAGACAGGTGGGATTTCGGCCCCTACTTGCCCCTTTGGCAGGTAACTGTGTGTCGGGCACAACCAGTGCAATTGCAGAAGGTGCCCCTGCAGCCTCATTTCCTCTCTCCTGCCTTACTTCTGAGCTCAGTATCACCCCACATGCACCAGAAGCCTGGTCCTTGCTCTCAGATTAATGCACATGGGACTGAGTGCCTGCCAATCCAACTATCACTCAGCCAGGTGACTGGCTATCAAGCACATCAACTTTGTGTCAACTTGTTCATGTGTTCTCTCTTCTCAAGCAGTTGTTGCTGGGAAGACTTTACAGGAGCACAAAAGGGGAGACATAATTGAGACTGGGGGTCAGAAAGTCATGAAAGGACTCTCTGAAGAAGTGAGATTGACTCAACCCTCAGATCTGTCCTCAGAATTGGGTAGGTGAGGGGAACCCACCAAATGCCCATTTCTTCTCCTTATCAAGCAGCCTTATTCCATACAGTTGAAGTTCCTTCCTCGGCATAACTAAGAGATGCCCTACAATAAATACCAACCAAGGCAGCCCTCTGGAGTGGAATTGGAGGTTGATTGTAAACTTCATTTCACTCCAGTAAACACGGATAAAGAACCTACTATGTGCAAAGTACAGTGTGAGGCACTGAGGGGAAAGCAGACTATGGAGATGAAGGAGACAGTCTCTGCCTTCAAGTATGATTCAGTGAGGAGACACACAGATAAAGTCATCTGTGATACAACCTGGAGTAACAGTCCAAATGACTTATAAGTGTGTGTTGTAGAATCATAGAAGACAGAAGACTAATTCTGACTGGGGGATTTTTTGGAAAGAGGAGGCAACAGCTGAGCTGGCCATTGACAGACAAATTGGATTCTGAAATATGGAAAAGTAGGGAAGTTCCATTCTGGTATAATAGCATGAGCAAAGTTGCAGGGGCATGGAGATGTATGCCGTCTGCAAGAAGGGCAGGGATTTCAGTGGAGTTTTAGCAGAAGGTTTATGTAAAAGAGAGTAGGTAGGGTGGGCTTGATGACAGACAAATGTATACTCAATGCTAAGGACTTCAGACCCTCTGCTGCTGACTTAGGAGTGCTGAGCAATGAAGAGACATAACTTAATTATTTTATCATTCTTATGGCAATGGATGGATATTTCAGAGAAATAAGAGACTAGGTCAAAGGAGATTGGTTCAGAGGCTATTATAGTGAAGATAGATGACAAGGACTTTAACTAAGATAATCATAGCAACAGATGATGATCTTGGAAGACCAGCCAGATTCCAGAAGCTTTATTCAGCTAGAAATGACACATAAGTGTAGGGGAGAAAGATGGCTTTAAGGTGGTTCCAAAAAATGCCACCTGATGCCAGAGAAAAGGCAGGAAGATGGGCTTTAAGGTGGTTCCAAAAAATGCCACCTGATGCCAGAGAAAAGGCAGGAAGATGGGTAGATGTGTGTGGAGGGGTAGAGGATGGTTGGGTACGGTCTGAGTATTACGGAGTGGCAATGTCTACAACAGGGTCACAGATTCAAATACCTACAAAAACCAGGTGGTTTATATGAGAAGAAAGTGCAAGGCAACAGGGAGAAGTGAGGGCTATGGAAAAGAGGAGAAAGGTGTCTGTCCTAATGGGGAGGATGGCAACTCAACCCCAGTTGCCATGGGGGAGGGGGAGGGTCCAGGGCTACCCGATCTTTTGCAAAAAAAAAAAAACTAGAAATTCAAAAATTTTAATGATGAAATCCTCTGATTTTAACACAGTACAGCTATAAATAAAATACCTGAGGGCAGCATTCAGTCTTCGGCTTGCTAGCTGGGACCCTGGTCTGGAGACTCTATAGTAGGGGTGTGGGAGTCTTTCTCAGTTGTATGTCAGACATGAGTTTAGGCTCCATAGAGATCTAAATCTGAATTCTGAGCCAACCTTGAGCAAAATATTCAACCTCTCTGAATCTCAGTTTTCTCGTCTTTAAAATGGGAGTATAGCTGTCCAATAGAAGCTGTTTTTTGAGTCTGCATAACTCCCCCCAGTGTTGAGCCTTGGATTCTTCCTCCAACTTTTTGGACCCCAGGAATAGCTTTGATAGGAAGATGGAAGCTTCAGATACTGTACTGGTGGTTGAAACTGTACCACGCTGATTGTCTAAATAAAACTTACATTAAAGTTCCTGGCAGCCCGGCCTATGGTAGGGATCGGGGTGGGAAGTTGACTAGGTTTTATTCCATGATGAATGCCAAATCTCAAATTTGCCAAGCATTTTCAAGATGAGCACACCTGAGAGGATGGAGGTTGACTTTAAAATCTCTGTGAGGTAGCTGGTAGAATTTCCAATGATGTCCACCAGTAGGGCTGTGAAATCTGTAAGAGAGATTGAGGAGGTTTAAATTTCTGAGACTTGGTTTAAATTTCAGAGAGACTTGAAGGGAAATGTGTATTGTATTTGGATTTTTCAGAGTAGATTTTACAAGTTTGATTTAGTTCGGTGTATTGGGGATTATTAACAATCATAAAAAGAAATACTACTAGTTATTTTTCTAGGCTTGATTTCAGGCAGGCAGAAAACTTTTGGATCCACCATCGTAATCTCCTTTCTCCTCCATTTCCCTCCCCCCACCCCAGATCCTTCTCTGCCGGCACCAAAGAGCTGTGCAAAACCATAGTGTTGAATAATGGTTTTTCTGATTTGTTCCCCCCCCCCATTATTTCGTCTAATTGATTTAGAATACCAAATTCATTGGATAGGAAGCAGCCCTGCAGACATGGGGTGTACATTTATATAACTTCAGATTTTCAAAATGATATCAAATTTAGTGGTGGATTATAAACTGTGAACTATCAAAGGAGACAAGGACTTTACACAAAATAGAGCAAGGGAGCTCTTCTCCTGCCCTCCACGTTCAGAAGTCTGATGGGAGGAGACAGATAATTTTACAACATTTCAAACTATAAAATCTTCGAGGACTTTCTCTCTGAGCACGTTCTGAACATGTCTTGACATGGTGGGTGCCACTGACCAATGAAAGTTCCTAATGCACTTCCTACCCACACAGATGCTGCCTCCTCTGCTGTTCAGTTATGGTTTTCCAGGACCCAGCAAGTTCTTGGCTTCTAAAACAAGGAGTACTTATTCTAGGAGCCCCAAATTGTGAATTTCTAAAGAAGCTTCTGAGGTCCCATGGATAGTTTCCTGTCGTGCCTTGTCTAAATGCTTCTTTTACTCAGTAACGGGGTCATGAGCTGGGGTCAGGGGCAAGCTGACTTGAAAATATAGAACCCAGAGAGGCATGAAAACGTGATGTGACAACCAGTGGAATGTATAGCATGCAAGGCCAACAGGAGGTGGGCACTACCCTATGTGAGCCAGAGCCATGGTGACATGCCACCTTACCACACTTGCACGGGTGCGTGGTTAGTCTCCTAGAGGAAGATGTGGTGGACCACCTGTACAGGTGTGGACACGTGGCCATGCAGAATGTAGGCATCCTTCTTTATGTCTCTTTAGGCCAATCTGTTTATAGTCACATTGTAGAAACTGAAGAGGGGTAGTATTTCATTACTTATGCCATCTATTTTCTTTCTAATTCTCAAAAGTCTCCTTTGTTTATTAATTCATTCATCTAATAAACATTCATGGTGTGTTGGAGTATGCCAGACGTCTTTTAGGCACTGGAGGATTAAGACACCATCTCTGCCTACCCGAAGCTGAGATTAGTGAGAGAGAGAGAGAGAGAGAGACTCACAGATAGACCAAGAAACTGCAGTCCACTATTCATATTACATAGAAGCTATGAGCATGGCTTTGCAGCCCAGACACCAAGCATGGAGTCCCGATTCTGCCCAAGTTTCAGAGAAATGATGGAACTTTCCCAAGGTCCCAGAGCATGTGGCAGGGCTTGAATTTGAGCTGAGGTCTGCCTTGTGCTAAAGCTCCTATTCTTCCCAAAATTTCCACCACTGCTCATACAAATCTCCTACTCAATACATTTGTCCACTCTCCTTTTAGAACTGCTTTCACAATCGGGTCCTAGGCTTGGAAGAAAATCAGTTATCACTGCCTCAAAGATATTCTTTGTTTTGATGAAAATATGAACTATCTAATTTACTAGCAACACACGGATGAATGATTTCTGACTACTTTCATATAGAAATAGAAAATAGGGAAAAACCCCTTTTTGTCTGTCTTAATTGGTAATGATTTAAGAATGTCTCTTGGTACTCAGCGTTGGCAAGGGTGTGGAAAAATACACACTTTGAAACATTACTGGTAAAAGTGTAAACGTATGCAAGATTTCTAGAGGAAATTTTAGCAGTTTGAAGCATCACAAAATCCTCTTCCTGTCAGACAACAGTTCTATTTTGAGGACTTTATCCTACAGTGATAAACGGGCAAGCACTGCAAGTGATTGTACACAGGTTCTCATCACAGCATTGCTGGTAGTTGTAAAAAAGAATGTTTCCATCAGGAGGAGATAAATTATATTATGGTACATTCTTTCAATGAATACTATGATTTCATATGAAGGATGAAGCATATTTATATCATTGAATGGAATGTTTTTTAAGACATGCTGATTAGTTGAAATATCAAATTTCATAGAAAACATGGTAGATACTGACAGCTGTCTCCCAATATCCATCCTCTCATTCCTTTAGTAAGAAAACATGAAATTTCAGTTGGGCACATGGTAGTTTAACGTAATTGAAAATTACATTTTCAAGCCTGCTTTGCAGGTGGGTGTGTCCATGTGACTCAGTTCTAGACAATAGAACGTGAAAAGAAGCAATGTGAAAGGTTTCCAGACTGAGTTTATATAGTGAGTGGGCATGCCTTCCAGTTCCCTTCTCCCCTTCCTTGTAGCTGGAATGTGAATACGGTGACAAACCACCCTGGACTATGAGAACAAGGGCCAGAACTTGTGGAAGGCAGAGCAACAAGATAGAAAGAGCCTGGGCTACTAAACCATCAAACCATCAGAGCGGTCCTGGTATGCTTACCTAGACTGTCACACATGAAACTTCTACCTTCTGTAAGTCACCTTGTTTTGGGGTCATTTGTTTTAATAGCCTAGCTTGTTTTCTAAATAATATAGAGAAGGTACAGTAGGATGGGTAGATAGATGGCTAGATGAATGGGATAGGTAGGTGGAGCAGGCAGGTAGGTTAGAGAGGTAGGTTAGATATGTAGTTGACAGATGGCTTAGATAGATGAATTAGAGAGAGGTGGCTTAGATCACCTTGGGTAATGTGATTACCTCTGGCTGTTGGGATATCAGGTGTTCCTGATATTTTGATTATACCTTCCATGTTGTATGGAAGGTATAATCATACCTTCCATACGATACAATATATTATTTTTAACATCACAATATATTATTTTTAAATCAAGAAAATTTAACATCACAATATATTAATATCACAATATACTTTATCATCACAATATATTATTTTTTTAATTTATTTTTATTTTTTTTGCGTTACGCGGGCCTCTCACTGTTGTGGCCTCTCCCATTGCGGAGCACAGGCTCTGGACGCGCAGGCTTAGTGGCCATGGCTCACGGGCCTAGCCGCTCCGCAGCATGTGGGATCTTCCCGGACCGGGGCACGAACCCGTGTTCCCTGCATCGGCAGGTGGACTCTCAACCACTGCGTCACCAGGGAAGCCCTTATTTTTTAAATCAAGAAAATTTAAGCTATTTTCATTAAGTAAAAACACACTCAGAGGAAGGCTATATATCAGAGTTGAGAATATTCAGAAAACAATCCATGTCTGAAGATTATCCACAAACACACCTTCCCCAAAGGTTTTGAGCCATGGCAAGATGTTGGCCGAAGTGTACAGCCTCTCAAGGTAGCAGTTTGAGGGGAATCAGCATTAGGCACATTGTGACATGTTAAACCTTGTGAAAATCTCTATGGTTTACCAGGGGAGCAAGATGCTATTTAATCAGTGGTAACGATCCATGGATCAATTCTTTTCAAATAAGCATTGCACGTGTATGAAAATACACTTCAGCTCACCAAACAGAATTACAAAATTCCCCAGCAGATGTGACTCCAATTTTTAAATTTTATTTTTACCTTTCACACAATCAGGGCAGGGACTCAACACCAGACAAAACTTGGCCTCTAGCCGAGGCTAATGAGGTGGTGAGAAAGATGTGATTATGAAGAACATTTTCCCTCCCAAATGTAGTTTGTTGATGAGATTCAGAGGGTGGGTTATATAAGAAGATGGATATTAGGTACTTATTGCAGAGTCTGGCATCCAGTACTTAGTAAACAATAATCATCAGAGTCTGGCATCCAGTACTTATTAAACAATAATCATTATCCTCTTTGCACAATATTTGGTCCATGAATTCCTCCTTGGGGAATCTGTTCTCAGAAAGTAATCTAAAACAGGGAAATGTTTTAGACACGAAGATGTCTAATACAGGATTTTTTTTGTATTAAGAAAAACCTAGAATCCACCCAAAAGTTCAATAGCATACTAGCTAAGAAAATGCTCACATTCATAGGTTATATAACCATTACACATGTTTGCAAAGAGTTTGTAATATCATGGAAAATATTTTTAATATTAGGTTAGGCGAGGAGAAAAAAAAGCAGAAGAGTCTTTGCTTCCCTTGCAGACTATTCTTTAACAAGCAGCCAAAGGGATCCTTTTAAGATGTAAGTTAGATCACGGCACTCCTCTGTGTGGACAATCACAATGGCTTCCTTCTTATTCATAGTAAAAGTGGAAAACCTTGTGGCAGACTATAAACTTCTACATGATCTGCAACACCTTTCCTGCCTTGCCCCCACAATTCTGAGCTCATTTCTCACGGCTCTCTGGCTCACTTGCTGGCCTTTCTGGTCCTCACTCTGCCTTTGCATGAGTACACACATGCATTTATGTATTCTCTATGACTGTCTTCCAAGATTGACTGTACAGTAGACTATTCAGCCATTTTCCTAATGATGGATATTTAGGTCGTTCTCAGCTTTTGCTCTCAAACAATGCTACCTTTTGTTCTTGCCCCTTTGCGCAGATGTAACTATTGCTCTAGGGTAGAAAACCAAGAAAGGAACTTTCCAGGACAATGGATGTGCACATATTTAAGCATAATAGATATCATTTCATTTTCTGATCTTAGTCTAAGGAGAAAAAAAATAATTCAACCTTATTTGAAAGGGCACAAGCAAAATCAGGGCAGCCTGCAAGCCTCAAAGTGAGTTCTACCCACCTGATAAATCGTTGGTCCGGTTGTTTAAGCAGTAGCAGTACCGTGTGGGGAATTTGGCCGGGTCCACAGTCTTCAGGTTAGAAACTGTGAAGAGAAACGAAGCACATAGCAACCCTGACACATAGCCTGGCCTGCCTACCCATCGCTTACCATTCTCGCCACCAAGAAAAGCTGGAGGAGGGGGCATGGGAGAGGGATGGATTGGGAGTTTGGGATTAGCAGATGCAAACTATTATATTTAGAATGGATAAACAACAAGGCCCTACTGTATAGCACAGGGAACTCTATTCAATATCCTGTGATAAACCATAATAGAAAAGAATATGAAAAAGAATGTATATATGTATAACTGAGTCACTTTGCTGTACAGCAGAAATGAACACAACATTGTAAATCAACTAAACTTCAATAAAATAATTTTTTTTTAAAAAAGAAGGAGAGCCAGCACTTACTGTTGTAAATGGCCACAGAAAACTTGTGGAAGGCAAAGGAGCTGTAGGAAGTAACACTTAACAAGGAGAAAAATTTCTTGCTATCTGTCAAAGACATTGAGATAAAGAAACAGTAAATGCCCACTAACAATAATAACAGTAATAGAAATTAGCAAACTGATCATGGAAATTAATAATACGATGAACAAATAAAAATATAATAATAAACACTGAAAATAATAAACAAAAATCAAAGCAAACCAAAAACAAACAAAAAAGGCAAAAATACATGTCCCTTGGCTATATTTCCTAATCTGTCCTTAAACTCTTGCAATTGTCTCATAATATAGTAGAGATGAGTAGAGATGCCTACACGGATGCTGTGTTTGGAGCGCAGCTTGCTCTCAAAATGCTGGCAAACCTCCTACTTCATCTGGATGTTTTCAATCTCATCATGAGTTAGGTAGGACACACATCCTCTGCTCTGAACACAGAGGAGCCGAGACACACAGCGACGTGACGGGTCTTGCCCAGGTCGTGGAGAGTCCAGAGGCGAAGCAGGAACAAGATAAAAATGGGCCTGGGTTGTGCTCTTAAAAAAATTGTTTACCTTTTAAGGCTCTGATCAGCATCCCGTTCACCAGCTCTGTCAGGTTAAGCGCAGACAGATCAACCGACATTGCAGACAGCTCTGAAAGAGATTCAAAGATAACGTCATCAGCAGGCCTTTCTTGGCAAAAGGAAAAGTTCCTCATTTCTGACATTCAGGCAGATGTGCCTCCTCTTTGGACATGAACTCACACCCTGTGCTGGGCACAAGGATTTGGAAGATAAAAGGCAGTTCCTGTCCTCAGGAGGTGACAGCTAATGGCATATACTGTGACAAGCAAGAGTAGGTAGAAGTTTGGGTGAAACACGAGGAATGCTTATTTTAGGGAATATTTTCTCTCTGCATTTGGAGAGAGTAGAGATTGATGGGAGATGCTTATGTATAATACACAATATAAGCCCTAGGAAATTTCAGGAGTTCTCAACGTGCTGTATAATATAAATAATGACATTGTCTAACAGAGGAGCTCGGGGCTTCCCTGGTGGCGCAGTGGTTGAGAGTCCGCCTGCCGATGCAGGGGACGCGGGGTCGGGCCCCGGTCCGGGAGGACCCCACATGCGGCGGAGCAGCTGGGCCCGTGGGCCATGGCTGCTGAGCCTGCGCGTCCGGAGCCTGTGCTCCACAATGGGAG